AAACCGAAGTCATCCTGATCGATTAATGGCAAATCTTTAATGTAGACAGTGACCGGCGATTTTGTAGGTGATCGAGATAGAGATAGAGAAGATGATCTTTCTCGTTGTCTCGATCTAGTTGAATAACAATCGCTGTTGAACGAGGATGGTGAAACAAACGTAGAAGTTGTCGGAGGACCACTGGTGTATTCTAAAAAAATTCAAACGATAATAAGTTACGCTTTAAAAAAGAATTTTGAAGAAAGAATCTTAATTGTCATAAGCAAAACGAAATCGAGGTCGGATCCATCAAGATACATAAAAATATTGCAATAATTTTATTTTTTTTATGCATAATTCAAACTATATTTTGATTAATAAAAGTTCTTTTTTTATTAAAGTTTTTCCTGAATTTTGCATATCAATCATTTGATCTCCCTTCTTGTGAGCAAGAAATGTGATTAACTATGCACTAATTCTAATCTTTTTTAAATAAAAACTAATATCGACCGTAAATTCTATAGAGGATTTTAAAGTATTTGAATAATTACATTTAAAGCTACATTGTTAAAAATATTTTCGATTTTAATGTTGATCAGACAAATAATTATGAAGAAAAACATTAAATATTTGTAACTACAACTTAATGCAAAATCGAATGATATACACTTGTTAAAACGCATATAATCTATAAACTAATGATTACTGTGCCGTCTCTTATGAGTTCTTAGTTAGATAAAACTGAAACAAATCTTCACATCAGTTTCGTACGTCATTGGAGTTTAACACTAATAATTGGGAATTATCTATATTCATCTTGAGAACATACATATTAACAGACGAAAAATTAGTTATTAACGGTTCTTTTTAGATCTATTTTGGAAAAATTATGCTAAAAGGATTTTTAATTAATCATTGAAATTGCATTTTCTTCCAACATACATTTGTATGAAAAGTCTTTTCTCAGAACAGAACTGCTCAATGAGCGAAATGACATTTTTAAACTATTACCTAATGCTCTCGATTTATAAGAATTATTGCTAGATGTTTGATCTGTATCAGGTTCCTGTGCTACCATTGCTGACTTTGTGAGAGGGCCACATCGTGGTCTTCCACATGATTGGCAAGGCAGCAAAAAGCAACCGAGTGCCAACCATTTTGAAACGGAGAGTAGTTTGTTTTTCTTTATCAAATATCAACTGTTAGTTTTCTTGTTTATCATTTCAGAAAAGTAACTTACCTTTTCTTTTGTTTCAGTTGGATTAGAAACTCGTTCTGTGAGTTTTCTTGAAGTTACTTGATATCGTTTAAGTGCATTGCTAATAGCTGATTCTTTACCGCATCCACGACAATCACTTTTCTTGACGTCATCTAGTCGGTTTTGGGCACAAATCATATGAAATATATGTTGACAATCAGTAGTCAGCGTGCCATCTTTTCTGCCTAATTGTTTTTCACAAATTTTACATTCACCTTCTAATATTGCATTAAGTTGTTCGGGTGCGTCTCCCAAAGCCGATTTTTTACCGCATCTACGACACTCACTTCGCTGTAGCTCATCTAATCGCTTTTGGGCACAATGAATATGAAATGTATGCTGACAATCAGTAGTCACCAAAGCATCATCATCATCGTTTATAATTTTCTCGCATATGTTGCACTCTTTCTTGGCTCGTGGAAGTGCGTCACCTACAGCAGATTCTTTGCTGCATTTACGACAATCGCTTCGCTGCATCTCATCAAGCCGTTTCTGAGCACAATGACGATGATATATATGACGACAATCAGTAGTCAGTGTATCATCATTTTCACCCAATTGTTTTTCACGTATTTCACATTCGAATCTTTTCGATGAAGACATCTATAAATCTAAAAATTCATAAAAAAACATCTCCGTCTAAGTTACATTCAACTATATGTTGAATATGGATTTTTGTCATGTCATAAGAAGAATTTCACAATTCTTTCGAGAAATATTCTATTGGATTAATCGAGGTTTTTTTCAATAGTTAAAATACATCTGCGAGAAAAAAAAACTTGTCATTCAAATATGTTTCCTTTCGGTTCGTCACCCCTCATTGGATATGTATTCTAAATTGGAAGGGCAACAAATTTGAGTATACATACGTAAACCCTTCCAGTTTATTTCGAAGAACTAACCTAATCATACGTGGCAGAATATATGCATCTAGTATAAAGTCGATGCATCTAGATGTAAAAATGAAAGACGAAAAGAGACAAGAGGCGCATCTTTACATCTAGATGCATCGACTTTATACTAGATGCGTATATTTTGCCACCCCTCAACCTAATCGTGATTTGGTTTTTTTATCGATTCGAACACATAGATTTAGTTTTTCGAAACTGATCAGTTTTGAATCAAAATATGTACCCTCAATTAACTTTCTTTTTATATGTTGATGATGAAATTCAGATGATTTGATAACATAGTAATACGAGTTTGAAGATGTGTATACTTATGCGTATTTTTTCTCTATAATCTATGAAAATAAAGCCTTTACTTTAATACTAGCAACAAATACAAAGCAGACAAATACTAGCTTTTGGCTAATTACATTATTGTTTAAAGAAAATTTCAATACTGAAAGAAAATACCTTGCATAAGCATGTAGCAACTTTTTCTGTATAGTGCAATTTGTTGTGAAATAACATTTTATGATTTTTTACGAAAATTTAAGATACCAATATGATATATCATGCTAACATAGATTTATAGTCTTTCTCAAGAAAAATCTAGATTACATTGTATTCTCATTCTTTTCTTGAAGTCGTATTCAAATTTTTTCTCTTTCAATTCTTCGTTAGCCGTACAGATGTACTTGCGACTAGTACGACAACCTATCGTAATCTGACATTTTAACTTACATATATGATCTCATATGATAGAATGTTAGTTAAGTTCAAAACTACCCAATACAATCTGATAGCTCTGAATTTCACTGAATGGAAAAGGCAATTCATACTTCATTTTTGAGAATCAATGTCCTGAAAGGGAATTATTCAATTTATATGAGACTTTTAGAAAATACTATTGACTTCAAGATACATTATCAGCAATAGTTTCAGACCGAAAGGAATTTATATGAGTTTTCCTCAAACGTCATGCCAGAAAGGACTATATCTTTCGACGAGAGGATGGGGCGGTGAGTCTATGATTTATTGTCAATAATGAACGGATCTATCATATTTCATGACTGAAACTAATCCGGATTGCATCGATAGCATATATTAAACGCTAGAAAATACATATGTTAACTTACCAATTCGTATGAAAATTGTGTGTGTTATCAAGTTAATCGAATATCTTGATGACTCGGACGATTTATTAATTATGATTTAAGCTATCTAAAGCAAAATACACAAAGAAATACATATGATATACTGTTCTTATGAGTACTAAATGCGTGTAGAAATATTTCGTTTAGGGTTATAACATGGCTTTTTTCTCAATATTTTTATTCATTTTATTATAAGGAGAATACCAAGTTACAAAAGTTATAACGAGGGTAAGGATGATTGCACACAGATATCACACTTCAGAGTTGATCTTCCTAATCAATTGATACTTGATTTGGAAGTACAATGACAGCATAAAAAAGAAATAAAAGTTTAATGACTTTCCTAGATTAAATTAACCAAATAAAAATTGTGATGCTATTTTACTTGAAGGCATGATGGACAAAAAAATAATTAAAGACAAATATGCTTGTTCAATAAACTAATGATATCTTGTAAAATGCAATAGTCATTTATGTCTGTACCATGCGAAAACTAATCCTAGTGAGTAGTAATTAGTTGAGAAAACAAAATAGATTGCAATTCTAAAAGTAGAACAAGCATCGGATTATATTATATTCACATTTTCACCTCTTAATACTTTCAATAAATACGGACCAGCTAATACACCAATAATGATTATTCCACGTTTAATGTCACTGCCTCCACACCAATCATTGATTTGGCGCACAATTGATTGATATATTCTAATATAATCTGGACACTGATTATTCTTTTTCAAAATCTCACTAATAACAATAATAATTAATATCCAAAGGTCACGAAATGTAAATAATACAAGTTTCCATAACATAGATAAAATAAATTTTATTATCAACATGAACCAAATTATGCATGTCTCTAGTAAAAATGGATCGATTAATACAGAAATAATGATTATCCAACGCTTCATATTATCATGTTTACACCACGACGGGCTGCATTCTTTATTTTTTCATATAATCTAATATAATCAGAATTTCTATGCTTTTCCATCAGAAGTTCGCATGCAAAAATGACGATTAACAACCATTCGTATCGAATTGCAAATATGATACGTTTCCAAGCTATATATAAAATAAATTTAATCATGGGTATCAACCAAATAGGAGATTTTGTTCTATTAAAAATGGACCGATTAATAGAGAAATAGCAATTATTCCACGTTTGAGTTGATTATCGTTGCACCATTCGTCGACTACTGTCAGTATCTTCTGATATAATCGAATAAAATCTAGAAATATGCCGTTGTTTTGCAGAAGTTCACTTATAACAAGTAAAATCACCAACCAACCGTAAAGAATTGGATAGGAAACGGGTTTCCATAATGGAAAAACGTGGGACTTGTCCGGAGCAACCAAAACTGGAGGGTTTTGTTGAATTTTTTCTTGAGGAGAGGGCTGGGTTTGGTCAAGTTCTTGGGAGAGGATGCTGAAAATATTTTTCGCTTCCTCTGAAGAAGAATGAAAATTTTTGATGATTGGAGACGTGTCACACTCCGTACATCCGTCGAGTTGGATCGGTCCTGGCACTCTTTTGGAATGTCCACTGATCTCTTTGGAAGTATATAAACGATTTTGCGCATAATATATAAGTAGATATATAAGTAGATAAATTAATAACTATTTCATTACTTGACCTGCAGTAAGTACATTTGACTGAAATTCTGTTTTGGCTATGCCAGAATGATAATCGGATTAAAATAATTTATTTTATTTTTCCATCGACATAATAAAATTAAAAAGTTAACAAAGAAGAAAAACAGACTTAAAAAAGATGGCAAGATGGCTGAGTTTTTCTCTGTACAAAAACGTTTTCAATACTTCATCAGTTGGCCAGAGAAAGAAAATGAGCAGGAATGCGATTCACATCGGTTAATAAAGTGAATAGATAAGAGGAGAATGCTCTATGAAGATGCATAACTGCTTGTGTATGCAGTATATGAGTGGTAATAAAAAGAATATGGAATATTTTGATGATTCGGTAGTGGAATGGGAGCAACAGAAAAAAATGAAACTATCATAGGATGGGAAAGAAAGAGAGAAATGAATCGTCTCTCATATATGTATATTTATCACTTGTACGTGGAAACATTGCTGAGATACAGGAAAGGAAATTGAATGATAGCTTTTTATTATGGATGGCAAGGACTGGATGATGATTTTGAATAAGCAAAACAATTAAAAAAAGTTAAAAAGGTTGAATAAAAGGAATTGTATCAGAAACTTTCATGCATTCGAGACAGGAGGTCGGGGCGGAGGCGGTGTGAGAGTGAGTCCGGGGTATTTTTTGCAGTGAGTAAATTCTCGTTCTATCAGTTATACATGATGGGGAAATAGTTTGATTATTTTGATTGTAAAATTTTGCATGAAGGCTCTTTACGAACAAGGATATGCGTGAGATTTGGAGTCAAACGGTATCCTAAAATAAGGTTGATAAATATTGGATGGATAGGTTGATAAGATTTTAATTTTCGTTCTTTTTTTTTATGTTGAATCGAACTACTGCAACGAGCTTGATAAATTACTAAGAAAACCAAAAGATACATCCAACGTAAAATAAAAAAAAAATTTATTATTTCGGCTTCAAACCCTAATAATATCGAAAAAGATTTTCAGGAAGTCCCATCAAAATCCTCTGGGAATCTAGTGAAGATCTTGGACGTACATCCATTGAATCCGTCTTGGTCGATTTCATATAGAAGATATTCATTAATACTGAAAAGTTCATAGCTCATAGTATACCTATAATGTAAGATGTTCACAGGTTTTCCGATAGCCCTCCGACCACGGTTGTACAGGAAAGGGTTCTACGGCAAAATATTTGGAACTGAAAATGTTCACAATGCAAAATTACATAGATACATATTTATTTAATGCAAAAGGGAGATAAACTGAAGCTAAATTTTTAAAAGTTTTATTACTTTTCAACAAATGTTAGACTCGGACCTAGTTTATGACCTAAAACTTTGTATCTACACAGTCTGCACTAAAAATAAAATATGTCATCCGGTAGAGATGAATGCAATAAACAACTTTCACATTGACATAAACTTTCCAAAATGCTTCACTGATGCGGCGGACTGCGCAAGAAATACTTTTAACCCTTAAATGCGTTTTTCTTAAAAATGCTTTAAACGTTAAATAATTTGTTGATATTTTACTTGAGGTTATCGGCCATGACGAATCTAATGAACATGTGCGACACTTGGTTGCGCTTATGTAATACAAGAGCAAAAAAGCCATTTTTTTGCTATGGGAATTCTGGAAACTCGCTTAAACCTTATGAAAAACGTATCCTATTGACACAAAAATTATGCCATTAGAAAGTAGACACTGTGGGCTATCCAACCATGTGCTTTTCTCAAAGTCGATATTTTTGAGAAAATCGACATTTCTGAACCGAGGGGCGCTTAAGAATGAACAGAATGAAGAAAGAAAAAACGAAAGTATTATCTAGAAGTACTGAGCGAAAAAAGATTTGATATTAGCTTTATTCTGCCAGAATAAAAGCGGAAAAATATTCCGTTATAGTATTCTAAACTAAAACTATTGAAAAACACAA